TGGCTGGCGCCTTAGCCAGTTGAGCTATAGGCACCGAGCCAAGGGCAAAAATTCTTTGAGATAGATCTGGTCTTACTGTGTTGCCTAGGCTGGAGGGCAGTGGCAACATCATAGCTCTCTGCAACCTCAGAGTTCCTGGGCTCAAATGATCCTCCTTCCTCGGTCTCCCAAGTAAACTGGGATTTATAGTGCCTGGCTAACTTTAGAAACTTTTTTTTCGTAGACATGGGTCTTACTGTGTTTCTCAGGCTCGTCTCAAACTCCTGGCTTCAGAAGTGATCCTCCAGCTTTATCCTCCTAAAGCACTGTTATTATAGGCATGAGCCAACATGTTTAGTCTCAGGGCAATTTTAAGATACTACGTTACCGATGAAAACCTCAAGTAGACCTACGAGTAATCAAGGTTTAGTTACCAAAATAATAGGGAATACTGAGAAAATAGGCTAAATTGTAGAATAAACACAGGCGAAGAGGTTGGTTTAAAAAGCAGGAAAATTGAGGTAAAATTGTAAGGCAAAAGAATGAAAATGTAAAATTTGAAAAAAAATTGGTGTGAAAGATCAGAATTTGAAAATCTATCTTATATGAGTTTTACAAGTAGACAATAGAGGGCATTATGGGAGGAAATATCAAAAAAATAATAGAAGATTTATGAGAATTGAAGTGAAACCTGAGTGTTAAGATTTAAAGGACCGTATCCGGATAATTGAAGAAAAATGACAGCATTTAGTTCTCTTAAATTTAACTTTAAGGACTTTGAGTAGAAATTAAACGCAGAAGTATCAGTTTTTCTCGATGATTTATGTTCTTCGGATTTCACACAGTGTCTCAAACATTTATTTTTTCTTTTGTTAATTTCATATCATTTCATATCTGCATTTATTACTTCATTTGGCTTTTATTTCTTTTATGGTATAAAGCATAAATTTGATTTCACATTTCTTCTGTGTAAAATTTAGAAACTATGGCTCATGTTCCTTCAAATAACTTCCTGAGAATTGATTAAAATTATACTGAATTCATAGATTAACTTAGGGGAGAATTGCAGACTTTTTTCTCTGCCATAAATAATGGCATACTTCTTTTTTTTTTTTT